GCGACCTAAAGTCCCTTTCCAGTTGTCCCTGAAGCAGCGGCCTTAGGACTTTTTTAATACCACCTAACTTACTTGTTTGGGTTACAAGGACAGGGAGGGGGAGAGAGGGGAGGGAAACCATTCTGCTTGTCCTGTCTGCCTTCCCAGGCAGGCTGTGCTCCCAGGGCAGCCAAACAGCAGCTCCAAACCTCGGACAGCTGGGAGAGCTCCCCTCCTCCCCAGCGGCCAAGCAAGCTCCAGGCTGACTCTCATTGGTCATTGATTGGGTTACATGCCCGCCTCTGAACCAATCAATGTGCCAGCTGGGGAGGGTGCTTGACTTGGTCAGACCCTGTCCACACCCGAGGCCCGCTAGCCCCAATGGGATCCAGTGGTTCCTGGTGGTGGGGACAGGCTCCTATGGGTGCCCAATAAAATACAGGCTGCCAAGTTAAATATGAATTTCAGGCAAACAACGAATTCACTTTTTAGTAGAACTATGTCGATGTAACATTTGGGATATATTATACTAATAAATCACTGGTTTTTCTGAAATTCAGTTTTAACTAAGCATCCTATAGTTTTGATTGCTAAATATGGCAGACTTCGTGGCGCCCCAGACAGGCTGGGGGCTGTTATCACAGGAGAATGGGTCTAGCAGGAGCGGACAGCTGGCCCTGCAGGGCCCTTCTGTGGCCTGTGGTGCAGTGGTAAAGGAGCTCTGGCTTTAGAGCCCAGCCCTGAGGGCCCAGCCCCGCTGCTGGTCTACGCCTGGGTCCTTGACAGGAAGGCAAGCAAGCTGGCCTCCAACTAAGTGTCCAAGGAGGCACCTGTGGAGACAGGAGGTGCCACAGACTTGATGCCACTCTGCCAGGAGTTGAGTGGGGAGGGTCTGGGGAAAGCTAGGTTTCCCAGCTCGGGGTCCGGCCAGTTTGCAGGCTGGAGTCACAGCTCTTAGTAATTACTGTGTTTACTGCTATGACTACTTTTATTATTAGCAGTAGTGGTTGCTGTCACCACACTCACTATTATCATTTGTCATTGAACAACGGCTGTATTGTATCAAGCTCTTACCACATGCCAGGCACCAGGCCAAGTACTTTATAACTCTTATTTAATTCTCATATCCACTGAGAAATATTATCATCCCATCTTACAGGTAAGTAAATTGAGACTCAGAGAAGTAAAGTAAGGTGCCCAAGATTACTATTATTCTAGTAAATGATCAAAGTGAGACACCAGCCTCACCCTCTTGCTGCCAGTGGTCGTAAGAATACTAGCCCCAGACAGGACCTTGGGGCTTTCACATTTACTGTTTCATCTAATGCTATGGGGCAGGTAGAGCAATAATTATCTAGCTTCTTTGGTCACAAGTTAATTTGAACTGACTTAAGCTAAAAAGGAAACACACAGGTACAAGTCCAGGAACTTCAGGCATGGGTGTATCCAGGGGTTCACCTAGATTGGATGGTTTCTCCAGCTACTGGCTGTGTTTTCTTCGGTGTAGACGTCCCTCTCAAATAGGCTCTCTCCCTGTACCAGTCTTCCCCCTCCAGTCCAGGCTCCGTTCCCTCAGCTCAGCCAATGGGAAGGTCCTCCTTCACGGTGTCCCGGCCAAAGCCCCGAGAATGAGGCTCATTCTGAACGGATCACTGTGCCTAGGGATGGGAGTTACCGCCTGGCCAGCCTTGGGTGAACCCACGGTGGGCAGTCCCTTACAAACACGGTGAGAGGCTCTGTTCAGAGACATCCGGAAGCAGGAGTGGGAAGGGGGCTTCCTGCCCGAGCTGCCTGTAGATGTGAGACCAGGCCCAGGCTGATGGTGGGCACCAGCAACCCTTCCTTCTCTTGGGGCAGCACTGAGGATCCATGTCTGAAAGCACGCTCTGGGTCAGGCAGACAGGCATTCCTCTCCCCTCCAGATGGGGAGAGGAGCACTGTCCCATTCCTACCCTGGGGTCTTATCAGAGCCTTTCAGGGCTCAAAAATTAGGCTAGCAGGGCCCAAACTGCCCAGAAAATGGCATTTTGTAATTTCGCCTCCACCCCACAATGGCTGGTAGGTTGCATATGCCACAGGCTGCCGCCCCTCCACGTCTCAGTGGCTCTTCTAGCAACCCTGAGTTAGGAACACTAGGCCCATTTTCCAGATAGGAAATGAGGCCTTTCCCAAGGTCATAGAGCTGGGAGGTGGTGAATTGGGGCTTGCAGCCAAGTGGTCCTCAGGGACACTGGCGCAGAGATAGCCAAAGGTCTCCACGTCAGGCAGCACGCTGCTCCTCCGGGGCTTCTGGCCCTCCCTTCTTCATGGCAGGAGCTGGGCTGGACCCTGGCCAGGCACATCTGGGATCCACCGCAGCGGAAACCTAGATACTATTCTTGGTGCCGGTCACAGAGGGGCTGCTCTGGGGCCAGCAACGCTGATGCAGAGGCTAAGGACAGATGTGCGAGATCCCCTGGGCAACCCTGGCCAAGGGCGACCTTGGCTATCCAGGCCAATTGTGGGGCTGGCCCAGAAGCCCTGGGCACTCCAGAGGCACAAGCAAGGTGTCGCAGCTGGGATGAGATGTTGTGCTATGTGCCTTCGGCGCTGGCAGTCAGGTGGTCAGGAGTGCAGGTGCCAGTCACAGGCTCACTCACCCCAGCCCTGCCACGCGGTAGCTGAGTGACTCCAGGCGAGCCCCCTAAATGTCCCCAAACCTCAGTTCTTTTGTGTGTAGAATGGGGACCATGTTTCCCATCTCCAAGTCTCCTGGGAGGTGTAGGTGAGAGAGAAGGAAAGGTAGGCAGTCCCGGGAACACAGCATGCATCCAGTTCCAACGAGGGACCCTGCCCTCCCTCCCTTTCTCTTGGCAACAAAAACCAGTCTGTTCAGAGCTGTCATTGCTCAGCCCAGGCAATAAATCCTGAATGGTCTGAGCCAGGGTTTTCAGCTGGAGGTGCTGCTGTCCTTGGGCAATGTCTGCAGACAGTTTGGGCTGTGACAACTAGAGGAGCACCTCCAGTGTCCCGTGGGTGGAGGCCTGGGATGCTGCTATGCATCCTACAGTGCTGAGGCTGGGAAACTCCGGGGGGAGCCAGTCCTGCCCCTGCCTTCCCAGCTTCCCTTGCAGTGGGGAGATGCCTGACGACCAAGAAAATGACCAATGAGGCCTGGGAGAAAGTCGAGGGAGGCTTTGCCTCCCTAGTGGAAGAGACAGAATTGCTCAGCCGTGCCCTCTGCTTTCTCCCCCACCCGTTATGGCTGCACGAGGTGCCCTGTGAGGACAAGGCATCCTGCACAGAAGAAAGGTCACTGCCACAGAGCCTGGTCCTGTCCTCCAGACACTGAATCAGTGCCCGAGGCCGCCACCACTTGACATCTGTTACTGAGAAAAATCCACTCCTATTTGAGTCACTCGAATTACATTATTCTGTTACTTGTACACTCTTAGCAGATACAGAAGCTACTGGCATAAACCAGACAGAATCCACAGCATCCATGAGTTTTAAAAAACGAACAGGAGCCCAGCCGGGCGTGGCTCAGCGGTTGAGCGTCGACCTAGGATCCAGGAAATCAGGGTTCAATTCCCAGTCAGGGCACATGCCCGGGTTGCAGGCTGCAGCCGATCAATGACTCTCTCATCATTGATGTTTCTACCTCTGTCTCTTCCTCTCCCTTCCTCTCTCTGAAATCAATAAAGATATATTAAAAAATAAAATAATAAAATAAAAAGCGAACAAGAAAAGCCAGTCCTCACAATGGCCCATAGGCCCCGTGACCCAGCCCCCTCCCTCTGACCTACTACACTTCCTGCGGCCACCTGCTGACTCTGGATGGTGGTTGTGCGCTGCTCCTTCTGCCTGAAACACTCCTGCTGCCGCTCTTTGGCTCTTTGCGCATCTTCTATTCTGGGTCTCAAGGCTGCCCACCCATCTCACCCAGGCTGCCTTCGGCCCTAATGCCTTCTTGCTCCCCAGTATCTGAAATGATCTCTGCTGGTTCACCTGCTGATTCCCCTCCTTCTCTCACTGCCGGTCCCATGCACAGAGCGCGGCACATGGCAGAGCCCAAATGTTTGTTCACTGAGAAAAAAAAAAAGCGTTCTTGAATTCCACTGTATTTATTAACTCCATTTCCAAGACTGGATTAGAAAAATCACCTGAAAATTCTTCTCTAATAAATAATATACCTCTGATTTACAATGTTTGGGTTTTGCTTTTTTTTTAATCACAAATGAAAGTCTTTACCAATCTGGCCCACTCCCGGGCAGTTACAGCAAAGCCATTCTGGAGAGCTGCATGACCCGGAGCTGCAGCCCCAACCCTCTGGGCAGGCTTGGGTCAGTAGTCCACACTCCGCATGGTGGCCACCGTGGTGGCGAGGCGCCGGGGCAAGCCTTTGCTGACCTGTCTGTAGTCCTCAGGTTTGGTCTTCAGGAGCGTCCCGACGTGCTGGAGGGTGCGGGAGGGCTGCAGGCCCAGGGCATCCATCACATTGACCAGGTAGTCTGTGCGGAGGGGACAGACACTCAGTACCAGGCAGGTCAGGCCCCACAGGGCCTCCCTCAAGTAAGAAATAGATGCTCCCCCAAGCTTGATGCCGGGTGCCTGCTCTACTCTCAGCAAGAGGCCTCTACTCTGAGGGCTTTTCCATGAAGGNAAAATAAAAAGCGAACAAGAAAAGCCAGTCCTCACAATGGCCCATAGGCCCCGTGACCCAGCCCCCTCCCTCTGACCTACTACACTTCCTGCGGCCACCTGCTGACTCTGGATGGTGGTTGTGCGCTGCTCCTTCTGCCTGAAACACTCCTGCTGCCGCTCTTTGGCTCTTTGCGCATCTTCTATTCTGGGTCTCAAGGCTGCCCACCCATCTCACCCAGGCTGCCTTCGGCCCTAATGCCTTCTTGCTCCCCAGTATCTGAAATGATCTCTGCTGGTTCACCTGCTGATTCCCCTCCTTCTCTCACTGCCGGTCCCATGCACAGAGCGCGGCACATGGCAGAGCCCAAATGTTTGTTCACTGAGAAAAAAAAAAAGCGTTCTTGAATTCCACTGTATTTATTAACTCCATTTCCAAGACTGGATTAGAAAAATCACCTGAAAATTCTTCTCTAATAAATAATATACCTCTGATTTACAATGTTTGGGTTTTGCTTTTTTTTTAATCACAAATGAAAGTCTTTACCAATCTGGCCCACTCCCGGGCAGTTACAGCAAAGCCATTCTGGAGAGCTGCATGACCCGGAGCTGCAGCCCCAACCCTCTGGGCAGGCTTGGGTCAGTAGTCCACACTCCGCATGGTGGCCACCGTGGTGGCGAGGCGCCGGGGCAAGCCTTTGCTGACCTGTCTGTAGTCCTCAGGTTTGGTCTTCAGGAGCGTCCCGACGTGCTGGAGGGTGCGGGAGGGCTGCAGGCCCAGGGCATCCATCACATTGACCAGGTAGTCTGTGCGGAGGGGACAGACACTCAGTACCAGGCAGGTCAGGCCCCACAGGGCCTCCCTCAAGTAAGAAATAGATGCTCCCCCAAGCTTGATGCCGGGTGCCTGCTCTACTCTCAGCAAGAGGCCTCTACTCTGAGGGCTTTTCCATGAAGGTCAGGCCTGACTGAGCTCAGCCCTGGTCCAGGATTTCTAATCTACTAAAGGACCAGCAACATCACAGCCATCCCCACCACACCCCCTGCGGACCTCAGCAGACACTCCACACTGGGGACTCCGGGGTCCCAGCCCTCTCCCCAGTGGGCCCCACTGACCCCTGGGGTTATGGAGATACATGAGCTCATCAGAGCAGTTCCCGATCAGAGCAGTTCCCAAAGACCTCCCAGCAGAACCTTGCCACGAAGACAAGGACGGGGCTGGGGGAGGTGGCCTCATAAAGCGCAGGTTCCCACGCCTCCCAGCTGGCCCACTGGGGTACTAGTTAACTAGAGTCCTGGGCCCACCCCAGGTCACATCCATGAGGGTCTCCAAGTGAGGGTCCAAGAACTCTTTCAGTGTCAGGCAAGCTTGGGCACCACCGGCAGAGGGAGACTTCAGTGATGTCCCTCTGCCTGCCCAAGTCCCCGCTCCTGTCTGCAGACCAGCTAATGCCCATCAGGCTGCATGTTAAGAGAATGAAACAGGGACAAAGGCCATGCAGGCAGCTTGATGTGCTGTGGGTGACGGATAAACGGGCATTGCCTTTCCTTCCTCTTCCCTGGGTGGGGACAAACCTAAGGGAGCATCCGCAGCCTTCTCAGGTCCGTCCCTGTTCCTGCTTGGAAGGACTAGAGACAGCATCATCCAGGAGGTCCCCTCCTTGCTTTGAAACCCCTGCCCAGGTTAATAGCTTCTCCCTGACAGGCTGGAACTCCAGGCAGGCCCTGCATCTCCTGTGTCCTTCTTCTGAGGCCCAGCTCAGGGCAGGGCCCACAGAGGAGCCTGTTCAGCCCAGGCTGGCTGGCTGAGCCCCAGCTCAGGGGAACTGCTTCCTAGGAAGGGAGCCACTAGTCAGGCTCCTGTCTTCTGCACAAGCTCGTCCATAAAATGGAGCTCCCCTCGCCTACAAGCCAGGAGCTGCGAAGTGGAAGCCCAGGGCCCTGCATGACTCTGCTGTTTGATCAGCAGAGTGGTCTGAGACCTGTTTCTGTAGCACTTAATCTGAGTATCTTTAAGGGTCCATGCACTGCCATAGACCTTGCCCATCTCTCTGTGCCCCGCTTGAGTGGCCCACCCCAGCCACCCCTTCCCAGCCCAAGCACACTCCCCAGTAGAAGCGCCGCAGCTCAGGCACTGCCTATAGCCCACCTCCTGGCACTGCGGGCACGGGCAGATGCTCAGTGACCCTGAATGAGGAATGGCTCACCAGCAGGGGAGCTAACAGGGAGAAAGAAATAATGTGAAGAACTGAAATCCAAGGGGACCCCCAAATCTCATTTCACTCACTAGTCTGGCTGGTTCTCTGCCCAACACTGCTACACTGACAGGGACCACCAAGGAGCACTGGGGGCGCCCTACCTCTTCTCAGAGCATGTGCCTGTGAGGTGACAAGACACTGTATCCCTTGGCAGCTGCTGAGCTCACACCAAGTGCCCACAGCTCAGGGGACCAGGGTGGCTGGGCTCCAGGCCAGGCCCCACCACTGACAGCTCTGGGACCTGGAGGAAAGGGCCTCATTTCTAGCTCTTCTTCAGTAAAACAAAAGGCTGGCTTGGCTCCATGATCATCCAGGTCAGAGCTCTGCTGGGTCCCTAGGGAGCTGATCTTTTAGGCCCCTACCCTCTACCCTGAACACCCCAAGAGCTGCCACAGGCAAGTCAGTGGAATGATAACAAGAGACTGGGGACACTCCCAGGCTGCCTGCCCACAGCACCCCAACCTCAGAGCACCACCTCCTCTAGTGGAGCCAGCAGGAGCAGGTGGGCACATGCCTCTCGCCCTGGGAGGCAGGCAGGTATTCTAGGATTCCAGGTGGCCTCCTTACACAACTGCTCTGTGCCTCCGTTTCCTTATCAGCAGGATGGAGGCAGGAGCAGGACCTCGCAGGGGAATCTGAAGATTGCACAAGACAACGGGTGTAAGGGCTTGGCTCGGCACCTGGCATGCCTGGTGTGTAGTAAGAGCTTCACCAACATAAGGTGAGTGACTGTTATATAAATGGAACAGAAGGCCAGGCAGGCAAGGCAGTATACACATCAGTAACTCCAACTCCCCTTCTGAAACTTCCCTCATGTTCTCAGCCTTAGCAGCCGATCAGAATCCCCTGAGACACTTTCCAAAATACAGATGTCTGGGCTTCCACCCAGACTTACTAGGTCAGAACCTCTGGGCGCAGGGCCTGGAGAATCATCTGCATTTTTAACAAGCTTCGGAGCCAAATCCAGAGGTGACATTAAGAGGAGGCCTGAGAGGAGACTCTTAGAGAGTCGAGAACTGACAGCTGCTGTGAGCCAGAGCTGTCCTCTGACCGCCTGTCCCGGGGGACCCACCAATATCAGTGGCCAGCTGCTTGGTGGAGTGTGGCGTGAGCTCGGGGATCTGGAGGATGACATCACAGTAGGTCTGCATCGTGGCTCTGGCGATCGAGCCCAGCCAGCTGTCAGCCATGTTGTCCAGCTCGGGCAATTCATCCCCTGGAAAGGGAGAGACAGTCACCAAAAACAGCCTGCTCAAGAAAACCCATCAGCAGTAAGTTACAGAGCCCTTCTGGGTGAGCTGGCCCATGGCAGGGGCTATCCACACAACTAGGCCAGGGTGACTGGTCTTAGCAGGAGAAGTGGGGAACAGAACAATTACATCTTAGGTCAACTGGAATGGGCTAAGAGCAACGAGGACTCAGAAAAGGGGGCAATCAGCCGAGGCCCTGCTGGGGTCGGTATGCCCTGGGTGCTGGTGCTGGGTGGCCCTGCCCTCAATGCCCTGTCCGGCCAGAGGAGAAAGGCCCTCAACGTGGTGATGTCTGTGTGGCAGCAGGCATACTCAGAGATGGACTGAGCCCCATGCACGTGAGAATAAAGAGCATCCAAGCAGAGCACATACGTGTTTAAACAGCGTCCACAACACAGAGCACACGTGAGATGACCCTGCTTAGAAGCACATGCACATGTGGCTGCAGACAGGTGCATGGGAGAGCAATTCCTCGTTTGCCACATCACCAGCTCAGGGCAACAGACTGGTAACCTGAAGAATTATTTTTATTTTAAAAATTTAAGAAAAAAAATCCTCCTCCGTGGCTGGAACAGGAGCATGTGGGCGCAGAAGATACCAGGGGAGAGAGGAGGCTGCAAGCACTTACAGGGCAGACTGCGAAGGGTGTCCAGCACCAGGCCAGAGGGGCTTGGGTTTTGTCCCCTAGTTTTCAAGCAGGGCCCCTTAGTTTTCAAGCAGATAGGATTCATGAGTCAGAGGGTGAAAACAGGAACCAGGAAATGGAAGCAAAACAGACAAAATGCAGGAGAGAAAAGAAATGCCAAGGAGGGTGTTAAAAGGCCAGGCAGATGGAGTGCTGGGCTCAGAAACACTTGAGCCTCTATACTGGGCTCTGGGAATGGCCTGGCCACACCGCTTTCCACGCAGCCCCTTCCTGAGCAGCACTCCCCACAGGCTGGCTCTTGCCAAGGGCCACACGTACAGCAACAGCTCATTGGAGAGGCTGCGCCTGCCCAGTAGATGTCCCACCTGAGCCTGACCACCCAGACTGTAACCCAGGCCCTGGAGTGGGAGAGCCTCCACAGGGCCCAGCTGCCACAGGGAGAGCCTCCACAGGGAGAGGGAGAGCCTCCACCAGGCAGCACATTCCTCCTCAACCCAGAACCACAACTCCAGGGCAGCACCGCACCTGAGGGACTTGGGCCCCACTGCAGCCCCAGCGTAGCAGGTGCAGGAGGGAAGAGGGCATGGCATGCAGAGCAGAGGCAGGAGCTGGCTGCAACGCCCCTCCAGAGCCCACTGCGCATGTGCAACCCTTCCGTACACCACTACAGGAATCCCAAAGCTCAAGTTCCTCACGGGAAAAACACAGAAACTTTTAAATTCCCTTCTACTCATCACACTGTTTAGAAAAGGCCATTTACCTAAAACACCACCCACGGCTATTCACCACCTGGCTCTAAAACCTGCACTGTTAAAATGCTGGACATCCTCAGGCTATATGCGCAGGCTCCCTGCTTCCTGCTCCCTGCGTGAGCCTTTCCTACATGACTAAAAAATCTTCATAATAAAACGTTGAGAGAGAAGAAAAACAGGATGTAAACACACAGATTAGCTTCTTGCGGTTGCCATGTTTTCGACCACTGTTACAATTTTACTTTTTGGCTGGGGTTTCTTCCTCCTTAACAACACCCAACCCAGGGCCCAGCACACAGTACGGGACTAATAACCGTTTCCTAAGTGAATGAATGGGTGAATGGAAACAAGTTCACGCTAACTAACCCACACGGTTTGTTTGTAGGGGACGGCGAGACGTTATGCGCTTCCGGGTCTGAGGCAACACACGGTGAGCACAGCACCACATCTCCTTGCCAAAGAACTCGAACCTGAATTTAACCCTCACCAGGAAGAGACACATAAATAAAATATGTGTGGGTGAAATAGGGTGGCACCTGGGATTTGATTTAAATACTCTAGCAAAAAATGGGACAGGAATACATGATGACAGAAGGCATTCTAAGTCGATGATGAGGGCCTGGGGTCTCATCAGGCTATTCCCACAACATAAGTACGTGTGAGCATGCGTATGTATACGAACATTTCTATGAAAAAACGTTCTCTAAATTTTTTAAACTTAAAAAGCACATTAGCAAGTAGATAAAAATAAAAATCACATAACCTCAGACCTTCAATGACTATTACTGACATTTTGGTGTATGTATATTTTTTACATACAACAGAGAAATATATTCTTAGAAAACATTTCAGACAATAATACAAAGCAAACAGTAAGCATCCTTTACGCCTTTCCTCCACTCCCCCCAGATACCAGCATTTACTCTTTGAGACCTGTTCTCAAGGGTTTACATGCCTATGTACATGAGGAAATACACAGGGTTGGGTTTTTCAAAACAAAGGTAATATTATTTGGCACACCCCATTTTGCAGGACTTTGGAGGGCTGTGTGGGATGGGGTCAGGGTGCTGAGGTGAGCATGTCCTCACACCCTAAGGCCACTGCTCCCCCGTGAAGGTCTGTCTCACCTTGCTCAGGAGGAAATGGCAGCTTTCCTGCGTGCAACGCCAGCTCTAAGGCGGAGTCCTCCTGGGTCACAAATGGCTCCAGGTTCAGGGGGAGGGACATGATATACTGCCCAATCTGAAACAGAAGAAAGCCCTTCAGGCCGATGTTGAGCACAGGTAACTTCATGAAGAACACCTGTGTGAAGGCAAGTGATGGACAGATGCAACTGCTACACCTGGGGCAGCCCCAGGTCTGAGTTCTCCAGTGTGTGCTGATACCAGTTATGGCAACACCTCAGGAAAATCAGGGTGGTTTGCAGCGAGCACAGATCCATCCTTCTCACCGACTGCCTCAGCATTCCTGGAACGCATTCAACACAAGCTCTGCCTCCAATGAGCTAATGGATGCCGAGGGGCCTTGTACAACCTACAGCACTGCATAAACATCAGTTATTACTGCTCACAGATGAAAAACCAGGAAGCACAAGGCCAGCAAATCCTGTCCCCTGGACCTGGACCTCTGCCTTCTAGGCAATTTAACCAGGCAAAAGAAGGAACTGCGCTGGGGAAAAAAGCCATTTATGGTTATAAATGAATTCAGAGGGAAACTATATTGCTTTCTTAATACAAACTCTAGGAAATAAAGAAAAAACCTTCTTGGCTGTTGGGGAATCACAAGGATAAGGTTATAAGACCTTTGGGACAAGCCATAATTAATACATGATGGTCACGGGTTTGTCGGATCTACATGGCTGTCATCATGTACTCTAGACACCTATTTCCATTACAACTCAGAACTGTTTTGTGTTTTAAGGTATGAGATAAGGTTGATTTCCAGGTTATGACAACATATATTTTAACAAGACCTGTAAGCCCATTATTGCTTTTTGGCTCTACACTCATTCCAGACATCTGTCTCCACTCAGAGTTGACACGAACTCTGAAAGCTAAAGGCCTGAGGACTCCCCACCTGGCCTCACATGTACCTATCCAGTGGCAGGTCCCTGAGAGCACAGTGTCAGAAATTAACAGACTCCAAAACCTACCCAGCCCCGAGGACTGTGTGACGATTCCACCCTTGTTCCCAAGCATCTCGTGTATCTGGCTATGCTGAGCCTGAACGTCCTATGGTCCATCGTGCTAACAAAGTACCGCTAGTCTGGCATCCCTTTAAAGAGGTCCGCAGCATTTCCACTCACTCAGTGTGGCTTCACTCAAACCACACACGGGCACACTCACCTCACTAACCACCACTGTACATTCTGCTGGAAAATGGTGGCAGAGTCCTCGCTCTTCCACAGGTCAGAGGAAGAAAGGGTGCTGATTTCTGGGGCTGGGATTTCTCCCTTCAGCAAGTGCTTCCTGTTCACCGACTGTGTGCACAGACCTCAGGCATATTCCTGTACTTAGTATACCTTTCATGGTAGCCACAACTTTTGGCTAAATTCACAGACCCAGTTCTACTCAAAATAAAACATCACCATTCTACCTTGCGTCAGTTTTAAATTTTTCACAGTGGTTTTTCCTGTTTCACTCCTTTATAATGCTCCCGTAGTTCTGCGTGGGTAAGGGCATTCACCAACGAGGCAGTGTCCTTTAGGTACAAAATTTCAATAATGTGACATCTCAAACTTCAATTCCTTCGCCTTAGACTGTACGGCTTGCTATGGTTCCGAGATTCCAGGAGCCCAGGTTTCTCGCAAGAGCCGTCAGCATGTATTTTTTGGAAATCAACGTGAAAGGCAATGCTTACCTCTCACACACTAGTAAACACTCCTGCACCTCCTGAGGGCAAGCTCAGTGACTCGGGAATACCGAAGAACCTGTGGTCAGACAGACTTAGGCTCGAGTCCTGGCTCTACCACTGCAGGACCTGGGGTGGCTTAGCCTGCCAGGGCCTTGGTTTCATCACCTCTGCAATGAATGAGGATGAGCCTGCTCACTTCAACGGGTGTGGCGAGGACGGAACTAACACTGGTACAGCACGAGGTGCCTGGCATCCTGGACAGGCTGTGCTGGATAAGCGGCCTCCAGCCCCACTCGTATCCCCGAGCCTCGAGCCTACCTGTGAGCTACCCCCAACCAGCATGTCCTGTGGACAGGACACTGTCTAGACTGTGGACTACCTCACGCACCAAACCGCACCCAGCACTGTCCTTGCACACACTGAGTTTGATAAATGCTCCTTTCCAGCCCCAGATCCAGCACCTGCAGCACATGTGGGTCACAGTAGGTGGGGAAGGCCGCCTAGGAACTCACCCTAGCCCCCTTACTCCTCTCCAACAGCCTCTCAATCCAATAGCCAGTGACACCGTTTCCTGAATTTTGACTGTAATGCGTATGTCTCAGTTCTAAAAATGAGATCATTCCCATTGGTTGTACAGACTCACATCTTAAGTTTCACAGAGCAGGAAGTCGGGTCAGTGACTGTCACTCGAACTTCACTGCCCCCAGTGGACAGAGTGGATGCCATCCTCCGCCAGTGGGCTCACCACAAACTCCTTCTAACTGTACAGACTTTACTTTAAAATTCCTGTGTATTACAACAGTCATAGCTTACAGTGGGGGGGGTCTAAAGTGAGAGTGAGGCAGAAGTCACCCATCTCACAGTCCCCCTTGAGAAACCAGAAACTGCCCTAGTATGCAGTACACAGACCTGGCCCCACTTCTGTGCTGTATTTCTTATAGACACTGACACTTCAGAGCAATGGAGGAAGCTGACCACAGGAAGGAAAGCAGAGGCTGTGAGCAGGTGCCTGGGTCACTGTCAACTGGGTGAATGGAGGAGGAAAGGCTCTGAGTGCTCTTTTATTCTGCTCTTTTAAAAGATTAAACCTATCTGGCCGGGTGTGGCTCAGTGGTTAAGCATCGACCTAGGATCCAGGAGATCGCAGTTCGATTCCCACTCAGGGAACATGCCCGGGTGGTGGGCTCGATCCCCAGTCAGAGGTGTGCAGAAGGCAGCCAGCCGATCAACGATGACTCTCTCATCATTGATGTTTCTATCTTTCTCCCTCTCCCTTCCTCTCTCTGAAATCAACAGATATATTTAAAATAAGTAAAATAAAAGATTAAACCTCCACAGCTACAGTTCTTGTGATGAGAGTTGTTTGCTGCTGTGAATTAAACAAGAGAGCAAGCTTAGGTAGGTGCTCATTAGAAGTCTACTGACTCTTGAGTTCACACCACCATACATGCTGTTCTAAAATCTCTGAGCTCTGCTGGGCGTGGCTCAGTAGTTGAGCGTCGACCTAGGGTCCAGGAGATCACGGTTCGATTCTTGGTCAGGGCACATGCCCAGGTTGCCGGCTCGATCCCCAGTCAGGGGCGTGCAGGAGGAAGCCGATCAATGACTCTCTTATCATTGATGTTTCCACCTCTCTCTCTTCCTCTCCCTTCCTCTCTCTGAAATCAATAAAGATATATTTAAATAAATAAATAAATAAATAATCTCCCAGAAAACACTTGGGCCACCTGCATCTGGTCTTCCCCAATCAGACTTTCCCACTGGCTCGCACTCTGATGATGCCTCGGGTACTGACTGCACCTCATGTTAGCGAGGTGGGGTAGAGGGGAGGAGAGGCAGCCTGCTAGGTTCTGAAATCAGCATGTTTCACCAGCTGATTTAAGGAAATCAGCTGCATTTCCTTAAAGTCCTGGACATGGATGGCCCAGATTAAAAACCCACAGCAAGGCCTGAAACGCTGCGACCACCAGAGAGAAGCACAAGCGGCTCTTACGTTGCTGATGTACTCGAGAGGGGTGAGGCTGAAGGTGGGCAGGGCATCCGTCAGGGTCTCTCCAATGCCCGCGGTGTTCCAGCTCTGGGGGAAGGAGAGGAGGGGTCAGTGTCATAGCGCCAGGCGGAAGGGGAGGCAGAGGGCCACGCAGAGGGTTGATGGCGCGCTCCCATAGGCTTCTTTGGCTCAGAGCTGGCAGCCAGGGACTTCTCTTCTCAAACCAACACCTTGAAGCTGCCACAGAGGAACTCACCCCCCAACTCCGGCATTCCTGCAGGGCTCCCATCTTCTCCACTGAACTATTCTGTGGAAGCCGAGCCCTTGTTTCTCCCTCAGAACATGAAATGAAGAGTTAGGCTCCTCTGCTCTGAGTTTTTCTACTGAGTGGGGGCAACAGGCAAAAGGTTGCTGTGCACAGGTAGCCTCACTAACTCCTGGGTCTTTAGCACTCCGAAAAGGCTAGGACAACCCCAAATCTGCCACAGCTACCACATGTAAATCTCTCACCTTGGGAGGGAGGCTTGGGAAGCCCTTTCTGGTTGCAGGGATTCCCAAACCACACTCGCCAATACCATCTATAAACTGAAGCTACTGCTCTCATTTCTACCTGCCTTCTGGAGCTATTTCTCAACCGATTCTGAACTCTGAGGGGAGGGGAGGTAAGCAGTCTCCAAGCACGTCCCCAGCTGCCTGTGTCCACTTTGTGAGCCCTCTGCTGGGGACTCTTGGCACCAATGTGACTTTCCTCATCATTTAAAGTGGGGATGTCTATGATTTCACCGTGTGAGCCTTCTCATGCTCTCTACAGAGTTAGGCAAATCACTGGCACACACATGGTTACAGAGTTCAGCTTGGCACACCCTCACACGTAAATCTAGTTTCTTCATTCCAACCTGAGTCACCCTAAAGCCAGCCTGGAAAATAAGGCCCTTTCTTGCTGGACTCCTGGAGTAACTCCTGAGGTCACGCTGTAGCTGCTCTCTGCAGCCACCTGATGCCTGATCTGGTTGCTTGATCCTTTAAGTAGTGTTCTGGGAAGGTAATGACCATATCCACCCCTGGATTCCTGCCCAAGCTAAGCCTGGCCATGCTCTCCATGCTCCACAGCACGTGATTCTGCCTAATTTTCTTTGCTCTAGAAAAGTTCTCTTCCCCGCTCCTGCCCCTATAATTCACTAAACTCCTGTTCTTGCTTGAGAATATTATTTCTAATCTAAATTCCCTACTTTCTTCCAGTTAACTCACCCCCTGAGAAGGAAGACCAGATCACCCACATGTATCAAGGGCCTGTGATGTGCTAGACTTTATAGAGAGAAGACAAGGAAACCCGCCCCCCCCACCCCCCATACACACGGGCTTCCACTTCAGGAGGTGTCGCTGGCAGGTGCAAAAAACATTTGTCCAGAGAAGCAAGAGCGCAGGGTGACTGGGAAATGGGTCAGCCGCAGGATGCATGAGGTATAGAAAGAAGGCTAGAAAGAGAACACAGCTTTGCCTTCCAGAAATAAATTGCAAAGGGAGGAGGGAGAGAAACAGAAATAGAAAAATAGAACAGGTAGACATGGAAGGGAACCTATAGAGCAAGAGAGACAGAAAAGACTTTCAACCAATTCGAATGTGCGGAATAACCTGGATCCTGATCCAAAGCTAAATTATGACTTTTGTAAGACAGTGGGAAATGTGAATACTGGTAACACTAAAGAACTAGAGTTCTATTTTAGACAAGGGTCTACACGAGTTAGAGTGGCCAGGAGGTGATCATGTTCGAGCAAGGTGATGAGGCCATGCAGTTCACTGGCCTCTTCTCTATTCTTGCATGTGTGTGACAATTCCCATGACAATAAATTTTTAAATAGACTATCATACTGGCCCTGGGGAACTCAGTCAGGGTTTTGAGTGGGGAGAGACAAAATCAGAGCAACACTTTATGAAGATTAACGCACAATTCTGAGCATGGAGGGTGGGGAGGCAGAGAGAAAACTCAAATAGTTCAGACACGATGAGAACCTGGGCCAGGGCAGTGGCCATGGAAACAGATGGGAGCCGTATTTAAAAAGAAGCAACAGCCCGGCTGGGTGCTTGCTGCTTGGTGGTTAGAGCTTTGGCCTGCACGCTGAGGGCTCACAGGTTCGATTCCCAGTCAAGCCCATGTCTCAGGTTGCAGGTTCATTCCCCTGCCCCTGTTGTGCCGGAGGTAGCCAACAGATGTGTCTCTCACATCGATGTCTCTCTCTGTCTCTCTCTCTTCTCTCTTTCCCTTCCACTCTGTCTAAAAATCAATGGAAAAAAATATCCTCTCATGAGGATTAACCAAAAAAAAAACCAAAAAGAAGGAACAATGACAGCTTGGTGGTTAAGTCACTAGCAGAGAGAGACACAGAGGGCTGGGAGGAGCAGCACCATGGGGCAGGATGGAACACCAGTGTCCCAGGCGTGTGTTCAAGGGCCTGGCGCTGTGGACGGGGAAGGCTTCAGAGAGGAAGCAGGAAGAGGAATGTCAGGCAGTGCTCAGGTGGGTGGAGAGGGAAGGGGTGTAGAGAGGAAAAGCAGTTTGGCATGAGGGCCAACACAGCACACGGAACCGGCACGGGTTTCAAAAGGAGGCAGAGAAGGTGGACTTGAAGAGGGCAACTGGGAAATGCTATACATTATTCTTCAATTGTTCGAAATTTATTTAAAATTTCCGTCAGTTCCACCCTGCCCCATGGTGCTGCTCCTCCCAGCCCTCTGTGTCTCTCTCTGCTAGTGACTTGACCACCAAGCTGTCATTGTCCCTTCTTTTTGGTTTTTTTTTTGGTTAATCCTCATGAGAGGCATGGCTCAGAGGTTGAGCACTGACTAGGATCCAGGAGATTGGGGTTCGGTTCCCGGTCAGGGAACATGCCCGGGTTGCAGGCTAGGCAGCCAATCAATGACTCACTCATCATTGATGTTTCTATCTCTCTCTCTCCCCCTCTTTTCCTCTCTCTGAAATCAATAAAGATATGTTTAAAAATAAATAAATAAGTAAATAAATAAATAAATAAATTTTCCCTCAAATGGGCTTTTCTGTCCATGTGTCACCAGATATCACTAAACCTCAATAATCTATTCTGAAATGGAATAGAGTGTGGGTTTATATTCCTGTCATGTAAAAGAGTGGTACAACTGACCAGCAAATATTAAAAACAAACATTTAATGGCTAGGGATTAATTTTCAAACCCTTAAGGCTGGACTGTTTGCCTCTGCACGGTGCTTCCGAGCTGGCACCATGGAGCGGCCGCCTCCATACCCATGCCTGAGGCGCTGTGCTGAGGCCTGACCAGAAGGCCAGAGTGAAGCAGCCAAGAACCAGGTCAGAACCATCTCAGGATACAAAACAGAGGTGAGGACAGGTGGGAGCTCCACACCCAGCTCCATGAAGAATTAGACTAGGAGAACTAAGGTTTCAGAACAGAAGGTCAAGATTTTCAGCTTTGACCCAATAAAAATAATCAAAGAAACCAAGCCTGGAAGTAGGGGAGCGAGACAAGAGCTTTGAGGACGCAGATACCCTCACCACTCAGGCAGGTGAACCAGTATCAACATCTATCTAAAATGGAAGTGTGAGCCCTGGCTGATGTGGCTCAGTTGGTTGGGTGTCATCCTGTACACCAAGAGGTTGACAGTGCAATTCCTGGTTAGGACACATGCCCAGATTTTGGGTTCGATCCCCAGTTGGGGCTTGTATGGGAGAAAACTGATTGATGTTTCTCTCTTACATCGATGTTCCTCTCTCTCTCCCTCTCCCTTCCTTTCTCTAAAATCAGTAAAAACATAAAAAAATAAATTAATTAAAGTAAATGGCAACGTGATCATCAAAGACAATGACTCTGATCTCTAATAGTTTCCATAATCTTTTTTTCCTTAACCTTGGAAAGAGATCTGGGAACTAATTTTTTTGTTTTGTTTTTTTGTTAATTCTCACCCAAGGATTTTTTTCCCATTGAGCTTTAGAGAAGGAGAGAGGGAGGGACGGGGAGAGAGTGAGAAGCATCCATGTGAGAGAGACACATCAACTGGCTGCCTCCCATGCACACCCCTACCAGGCCCTGGGTCCAGGGGTCAAACCCCACAACCCAGGGAATTGAACCTAGAACCCTTAGGTGTGCAGGCCAACTCTAACCACTGAGCCACACCAGCCAGGGTGTAGGAACTAATTTCTTTGGCAATGAAGACACTAGTATCTCAAGTTCAACCATCCCTTTGGTTTATCTTCTTTTTCTAGTTAAGTTCAAATAAGTTTTATATGGTATATGTTCCATTTTTTTAAAAACAGCCCATGCGTACAATCGCACTGTCTTCCTATGGTGCTCATCCAGCCTCCAACTTGGGGGCAGGCATGGAGAGGAGTCTGGGTGGACGAACAAATGTTCATACTGCTTATTTCTAGACCCTGAGATTCTGAAAGGGTTTGGTGCTTTTTCCTTCATACCTTCCTGTATTGTTTGATTTCTGAAAATAAGTATGTGTACTTTTTATTTTTTAAATTCTCATTCCTCTTAAAAAATGAGAACCAGAGAAAGAAAGAAAATCACCCCTTATGAAGCACCTGCTCATTTAGCAGCCATCATGCTACATTCTATCATTTGCAGAATCTTACTTAACTCTCACACGTCTGTACAGTGAGAATTACTGTGTCCCCATCTCAAAGATGAGGAGGTGAGGTCAGGAAGAAGTAGCAGCCTCTGCCCTGTGATCCAAAGCCATGTATGGGTGGTGCCCAAGGACAGCAATGGTCACTGACATCACCTCCGATGCACTATGATGGCAGTGGCTCTTCAAATCTTACCCCCGCCCCAACCACGAGTAATGTACAATCTGCCTGGAGTAGATCTCATGGCATTTTGCATGGACAAATCATTAAAAAATGAAAATCATAGAATTCCAGGGGTAGAAAGAAGCTTGAAGTCATGGAGTCTAACTTTATAGATGGAGACTGAGATGCTGAGAGGGGCTGAAACTTACCAAGGTCATAGCAAACCCTTGACACCTGGCCTCGTATGCTTTCAGGGAGGCAGAAGAAAGCCAAGAACTTGTAATTATGCCAAACCCATCTTACTGCTTCCTAAAAGGATCTCCTAGTTATTAAATATTAAAGCCCCATTACTGGATCTTTCCCAAAAGACTCTCAAAAAAAAAAAGGGCCAACTCCTGACAGACTTGAAGACAGTGGGAGTTTAACCAGGGTATGGTCCCAAGAACCCAAAAGAAAGCAATGGAATCAGGACCAGGGAAGACTGAGCCAGCAGAGAAAACATGACTGGTGGGCAATTCCTTGAAAAGAAATCAGGACAAGCAGCAAAGAGAAGCAAGGTAGGAAAGGAAAGCGAGGTGCTCTCAGAAGAGCCAAGGGGACAAGGCATCAAGGACAGAACAGAGCAGAGCCCTCCCAGGCCCCTTCAAAACCCCAGATCAAATCTGGGGAGGCAGTCTCCCAAGTTTAGTTCCAGAACAATCTCCCTAGAAATGTTTGTGGCATGATGAAAACTATCTCACAAGACGATTAGCTCCTCTGACCTGAGCCAACCCACCCAGTGGCATGGGTCCCCCTTACTTCCCCCTTGGAGGGCACAGCTACACTGCTCCCGATGGCTCACAAGTTAATCAAGCAATAGTAATAATCCTAAGAAACAGCCTGGAAATACAGTATTGCAGTAACTGCAATTAAGATATGGAATTCTTGCCAAGCAATGAACTGCAAGGGACAGTGCCTTTGTGCAGTGGGATTGCTCACTTTGGGAAGTCAAAAGGGCGCCTCCTGAAGCTTTGGGGGGTGGAAGGGAGGGGCAGGGAGAATATTCCTGGGAAGGAGGCAGGGCGGCTGGAAACTCACTTCCATCTTCGGGATGAGCAGCAGCTGCTGTTTGATGCGCAGGAAAACCGAGTCGAAAGCCAGCTGGTGGGCCTGCTGGTTAAGCCGGGTCAGGGCTGCTCTGGAGGCAGACAGCAGGTTGTGGTTACTTGACCCTTTTTCCTAAGACAAGAAAATGCAAAAGGCCCTGAATCCAATCCAGGTCATTGGCTAGTTACACATTTGGAAAGGTTACTGAGAGGAAAAGAGACAGAGACAGAGACAGAGAAACAGAGAGACAGAGAGAGAGAGAGAGAGTGTGTGTGTGTGTGTGTGTGTTGGGGGGAGTCTAGACAACAGTGGTTCCCAAGGCAGACCCCTGGCACATGCCCAATTAGAGATACACAGGCTCTACCCTAACTACTGAACTGGAATCAGCAGGTGCTGGAGCCCAGGAATCTGGATTTTTAAATCACTTTCCCAGGTGATTCTGGTGCATCTGAGTGAACACAACTTCGTGGGTTGGCAGTTTAGGAAAAACTGACCTGTGACTGTCCCTCAGGGATAAAGGAATAGGGAAAAGCCGGTCAGAAGTGTCATGTATAGACAACAGTGACGGACAAAGCCCTGATCCCCAGTGAGGTCAGGTCAATTACACTGGGTTGCACGCCAGAGTGTGACAAGATGCGTGAGTCCCCAGGAATTCCAAAGAGCCTGAGAAAATGCAGAGATGGAAAACAGAACCTTAGTTTTGCTATTATAAATGAACCGATTACAGCAAACAGAAATAAATCAGATTAGCAATAAAGATAAACAGAGGTGCTGTACCCTAATCATAGAAGCATGGATGAGTGAACTTGCAGAACTGCATTAACAAGGGTTTGTCAAGCGCAAATGCAGTCAGCTTGTGGGCCAGGGTGCAGAGGGACAAGGAAGGCCCTGTGAGGGCACCGGGAGGGTGCAGACAGGTATAGAAGCACGCTGCAGTCTCCCCAGAGAATGAGGCCCACAGGGATAATTCCAGATGGTGTTCCGTTCTATGGGAGCAATGTCTCCTCTGCCTATCACCAAGAGATGAGCTTTAAACCAGAACCTGGGTGTGAGGACGATGCTGGAAAGGATATCTGTGGCCTTCTTGGAGCCCGGGGGCCATTCTCAAGGAGCTGTGTGGCTCATTCTGTTTGTTGGGAGGTCCTATCCCTGGACCCTAAGGGTTTAAGCTCAAAGTCAAGGGCAGCTTTATGGTAGACACACTAAGACTCTAAAGGAACAGTGAACAGGGCACGCTTGTCCCCAAGTCCTCCTGCTGCCTCCTGTAGGAGCCTGCACTAAAGGGGTGGCCTGGTCTCTCCACCCTCACTCCTCCCTGGGAAAGAGGCACCACCTCTCCGACTGCTGGGCTGAGGTCCACCCTTCCAGATTCTGCCCACTGGCAAGCAGTACACATTCTGGTCCTCCCTCTGCCATTCAGTAAAAGGGGGCTGTCCCTGCATGGGGCCCAGGAGCTGTTGACAGGTTTAACTCTGGAGGGAAATACAGCAAGCTCATTTGGCTGCAGGTCAAAAGCCACACTCTCTAGCCTACCTTCTGTCAGTAAAAATGCTCCATTCACCCGACTCCCACATCTATAATATATTACAATTGGTTCCAACCCAGTCTAGTGCTTAGCCCCTCAAATCATGACGTCAGTGAGACAGAGAAGTGGCAGCAGGACATGCCATGGCACAGGTCCCTCACAGGGCCAGAAACCTGGGATCAGGGAAGTGAGTGACAATGGAAAGCTTTCATGGGCAAGAATGCTATCAGTCTGGTCTCATACCTTGAGGGTATAAAGTATTTCCATTAAGCTGGCGTATTCAGCAGGGTTATCCTTCTGGAGGTAATTATATTCCTGCCACGGGTTCTTGGCAGAGCTCTTCCTGTCTGTCAGGAGGCTGTCTTGAACCCCGCTCAGGCTCCGGGGGCTGTAGGCATCAGACAGGTACTTCCCGGCTGTGGACAAAATCCTGCAAGAGCAGTGAGGAGGGAGTATGGAGGCCCGAGTTTGTATCGAACTTCCTTCTTGAAGCATTCAGACTGCTCCTTACTAAGCCCCAGGAGATCCTCATGAGGCAGGTGGGCTTAGGGTCCATTTTATAAGGAAATGGACCCTTCACTGTTTTGGAGCTGGGTCGCAGGTGCACAGTGGACACCAGGTGTTGCTACTTTCCTACTGAATACTCATCCTCCAGAATATGCCATCTTCCTAATATGACAGACACTACAGGGCAACTGTACCTTAACTGAGATCTGGAACACTGCACTTTCTATGGGACACTTCCTTGCTATATGCGTGTCACTGTTTGGACTAGTCAGTCATGTGAGTAGCCAGTGCCTCAGTCACAGGGAAACTGGGTAGGGAAGCAGGATAGCTGGTCCTGGAAAGTGGACAGCAGCAGACTCCACATACGGGACTGTGTCACACACAGTGCTCACTGGCACTGTGACACTCACCTTTGTGGTTTAGGTGCAACAGGGACATCTCCTTAGAGAAGCTGACCCTCCCTGATCTCTCGGAAAGAAAAGTGCCTCAACGGGGTTCTGTGACCGACCCCTAGTGCAGCTGGGGAAGCTAGAACTCTGTCTCCCAAGGAGGACCTGCCCCAGGGACTCTGAAAAGCCCCATGGGGTGTGCTCAAACTTACCTGCCAGCCTACGCATTTCATGGGTACAGAATGACAGGAACATATGCAACCAGGAGAACAGACATAGCGATACATCCCAAACGTGGCTATTTCCCTGACCCCTCCGTTACTGTCATTTCATATGAAAAACATTGCTTTGGACAAGTAACTTTTAGGCTGAGCTCACCACTTTTTCCCAAAAACAAATCCTGTGAGTTGTCAAGGAATGAATGCCTGAATCTGCACACAAATCCTGGGGACAATCCCTTCCTGAGCTGCTGCTGACAGGAGCAGCCACCTGCCTCTACCATTAAGGTTGAGTCAGCTTTCCCTGCGGCTTAGGCCTACCAGTCATTTCGGTTGGGTTCTTTATCTGCCAAACTGTGGCTGTCCCTGCTGCTGCCTTATTCCCAAGTCGTCAACCACTCCTTGCCCGGACCTTGGCAGCCTTCCCTTAATCCAGTCCTTGTACACTCCTTACTCTGTCCTTTTATGTGTTAACAGAATGAGCTCTCCCAAAGAGAAATCTGATGTATTTTCCTCAAAGACCACTTAGTACCCCAGGATAAATCTAAACATGACTAGGCGGGGCACCCAGGGCCTTCTAGAGCTGAGCCCTGGTAGCCTTGCAAACATTCCCTGTATTATGCCACCTGCCCAACCCTCCAACCCCACACAGTGCTTCCCTCAAGTGTGTGCCATGCTCGCCCCCTCAACCTGAAATGCTCTCCCCTCCTGTGTACCTGGGGAAACTCCACTTCATGCTCTGGTCCTAGGGGCTTCTCTTCTGCCACGTCTTTCCTGACCTGCCCTCAGGCACTCAGTCTCCTGCTCCCCTCAGCTCTCACCGCATCATGGTGTTTGTCATCTTATCTCATTTCTCTCATCAGAAGGTGAGACTAAACCAGTGCTCTTCACCCCTGAGCTCCCAGCACAGTGCCTGGCACATGGTGGGTGCTCAGTAAGTATCTTCTGAATGACAGGTGAGCCTGGGGGTGGCTGGAGGTGGAGGGCTGCACTCCTGCTCTGCCCTCTGGGAGTCAGCTCCTCTGCAGAGACACTGCCATAGTATGTCAGGCTCAGTGAGCTGGGGAACTGGCCTCACCCACCATCCGAGGTGAAGGAGGACATGGTGAGAATGTTTCAAGTACTAGAGATTACAGTTTAAAATGTCAGAATAGTGTGCTCTACAATAAAAACCGAACCTAATATTAAAAAATCTCAAAAAAATATAGCCCTGAGCCCGAGGAACTAATGGCATCTTTCCCCTAGCCTCTTCCCTCAGACACCACAGGGGATCTAGTCACTGGAACCTGACTTTCTGTCCTGTGTATTTACTAGAATTGAGATCTAAAGCATGTGAAATGAACACTGGATTTCTTCATTCATCAGAGAAAAACTCCCTCCTGACTGCAGTGGGCTCTGGGCTAGGTCTTGGGAGTATCAGATGATTGAGCACAGTCACTGCCCTTAACCTCAGAGGTTAATGGGGAGTCTAACCCAGGCCCACATGGGACTGACATCACAGCTCGGTCTACTTCCTCAGCTCACTTCCTTTTCATGAAAGGTTGTCACCCACTCCTCAGCCATGGAAACTTATAAGTTTAGGTTAGATTCCCCAAACCCAATTATCCCATTGAACTGTCCCACTAAAACCTTCCCCTGGCAGGCACCATGTAAGCACACGAGGGGCAGGGCCAGGGCAACCCCACTCACCTCACCTTGCCTGCCTGGTAAGAGAAATCCTCAGAAGATATGGAAGGCAAACAAGTGCCCACCAAGAGACAAGTGGATTTAAAAATTGTGGTACATATATACACAATAGTACTCAGCCATTAAAAAAAAAGAAATCTTACCATTTGTGACATGGATGGGCCTAGAGGGCATTATGCTAAGTGAAATCAGTCAGAGAAAAACAAATACCATATGATTTCACTCATATGTGGAATCTAAAGAACAAAATAAACAAAACAGAAACAGGCTCATAGATACAGTGAACAAACTTTCAGAGAGAGAGGGGTTGGGGGCTGGGTGAGGGATTAAGAAGTACAGAGCGGTAGTCACAAAACAGTCACGGGGACGTATAACAGCAGAGAATGTAGGCAATAATATTGTAATAACTGTGTGTGGTGTGGTGGGTTCTGGAAATATCGGGGGAAACACTTTGTAAAGTACATGATTGTCTAACCGCTATGCTGTACACCTGAATCTAATATTAAATGTAAACTAGAATTGAAAAATAAAATTTTTTAAAAAAGAGAGAGCCCAGCTAGCATGGCTCAGTGGTTCAGCATCAACCTATGGTCCAGGAGATGGAGGTTCAATTCCCAGTTGGGGCACATGCCCCAGTCGCAGGTTTGATCCCCACTGGGGGGCGTGCAGGAGGCAGCAGATCAATGATTCTTTCATCATTTATGTTTCTCTCTCTCTCCCTTCCTCTCTCTAAAATCAATAAAGACATCTTTTTTTAAAAAAAAGAGAGAAATCCCTCAGGTGACACCCAACTTGGCCCTGCTATACTCAACCCATAAATCACAAAATGACCCCTTCTGCAAGGAAGTGATCTCTAGAGCTGGACAGCCAATTCCTTTATTGTTCCTGAAGTAACCTAGAGGCTTCCAGCTACAGTCACTGCCACCAGGGACAGGGACCCTTGTTCTGAGTCTGGGTTCTACAGGTGAGACTGATGGGAGGTAAGATAAGCTTTGTAGGCGCTGCCACATGCATGGCCTCCCTGACAGGAGCACAGATGGTGACTATAGCTCTTTTCCTTTTCAAGGCTCAGTGCTTCCAAAATGATGTTGCATCTTTTTTTTTTAAATATATCTTTACTGATTTCAGAAAGAGGAAAGGAAAGGAGAGGGACAGAGACAGACAGAAACATCACTGATGAGAGAGTCATTGATTGGCTGCCTCCTGCACGGCCCCGACTGGGGACTGAACCCAAAACCCAGGCATGTGCCCTAACCAGGAATCAAACCTCGATCTCCTGGATCCTAGGTCAACACTCAACCACTGAGCCACGCCCAGCCGGGCGACGTCACCTCTTAAAGAGGCCCCCTGGACACACCCAGTCTATTCTCATCTCAATCTCACACCAAAGCTTGGACCAGGCTTTCAACCTCTCAGGACTCATCCTCTAGCTATCACTGCCCATTCATCTTCCTAACAAGATCCTTCCCTACCCTTTAGAATGTACTATTGGCCTTCATTAAAAGATTAAGGAGCCCTGGCAGGGTGGCTCAGTCAGTTGGAATATCGTCCATACAACAAAAGGTTGCGGCTTCAATTCCAGGTCAGGGCGAGTACGGGAGGCAACTGACAGGTGTTTCTCATACCAATGTTTCCCCCCTCCCCTTCCTCTCTCTCTAAAAAAATATTAATAAAAAACCTATCCTAGCACTGGCCGGTCTGACCAATGAGGCTCAGCTGGTTGAGCATCACCCTGTGTACTGAAAGGTCACCAGTTTGATTCTGGTCAAGGCGCATACCTGGGTTGCAGGTTCAATCTCAGCTGGGGTGTATGCGGGAGGCAGCCAGTCGATGTTTCTCTCTCACATCGATGTGTCTCTCTCCCTTCCTCGCTCTCTAAAAAATCAATAAAAACATTCTAAAATATATATATATGTGTGTGTGTGTGTTTGTGTATATATCTCCTCAGGTGGGGATTAACAAAAAGATTAAGGAAAGTCTGCATGTTCTGATATGGAGAGATGTCTAGATACCTACACATACATATACATATGGAGAAGCTGGAGTCTAAGGCCAGACACTAATCTGTGAGAAAGGACAGCACAGGAGTGATGGTCACACACTTTGGATGACTCAGCTGATGTCCAGGTTCAAATCACTGCATCATAATTGTATCACCTTGGACACAGCTATTTATTTCTGCAAATAATTTCTTTTACTTAAAAAACTATTACCTGTGCCAAATTCTATGCCTCAATGTCTCTTCATCTGTAAAAACGAGGTAAGAACAGTACCCTGCCTCTTTGGCCCCTGAGAATATTAACAAGTTAATTCATGTAAAGCCCTAATGTCAGAACTCAATAAATGTAATGGGGGGCTGTTAGCAATGTTTCTTCTGGAGAGAAGAATTTTTAGGGTGAGTAGATTTCCAGTTTTTACTTTGTATACTTGAGAATTGTTTTGATTTTTGCAATGAGCTGGGGCCAGGCTGTAATTACCACTGTATTTAAGAAAAATAACAAGCTATATGTCTTTCTTTCAAACACGTTAGATTTTCACCTCTGTTTAGGGTCCTCATGAATGCAGACCTACTCACCTCCACCCGCGGGTCCCTTGTGTTTGTGTGTGCATGTGAGCACCCGTGCGTGTGCATGGGGGGCTTACTGCATCAATCACGTTACTGTACACGCCCACCATATCTCTGTGGTGCTTGGGTTTCTCTCACTGCAGGAAGTGGCTCTCTCTGTGCTGTCTGGGCAGGAGTTACAGAAAGCAGCAGCTGTCCACCTGCCCTGCTGCACAACTTTCCCCACACTGAGAACCATCAGGAAAACTTGGGGACATGAAGACAATCCAGGGGCTCAGAAACAAAAGAACAGAAAGTGGTGAGAAGAAACAGCCAACTCAGAGCACTGCCTCCTCAGCCAGTCTGACCTCCTCCCTCAGGGCCTCTGCTTCCACTTCACTTTGGACCATGGCCAGAAACTCCCTCCCACCCAGATTACTTTAGGACAGCGATTTTCAACTGGTGACCTGCAAGAATGTTTAAAACCTGCAATACCTGACTAGTCAGTGGCACTGACCTCTTTTCCCTGAGATTGTCAAATAAAAAAATGACAACAGTCAACACAACAACAGCCGTCCAGTGTGAATGAATGTCCCATCAGCAAAAAATATATTTTCTGACATGCCGCAGAATTTTAGTAGTTTGTGTGTGACATGAGATGAAAAAGGTTGAAAATCGCTACTTTAGGATAATGAATTATCTGAGAGAGAGGAGAGGGAACTGCTGCTAGCCTCACACAACTGTATGGAAGGGACTTCTTCCCCAAACTCCTGAAGAAGAGAGGTCAGCCGGGCCATGGGAGATGAGAGATTTAGCTGAATGGAAGAAGGAAATTTGGGGGCTGGAGCACTGAGGGGAAAACCAGCCTGAATGGCACACTGGGGCAATATAAGGCCCTGGCAAGTATCAGAAAGAGGGCAGAAGGGCCTTTCCTTAGGCCGACCCAGAAACCCTCCATTGACCTATACCCCTTGGGCAGCACAGAATTCTGCTGCAGAACCCAGAAGGCAGGCTAGTTGGGTGAATCCTGATATGGTAGGCTGGTCCAGGGGGCTCACCACCACTTATAAACACCATTCCTATGGGTAAATTTATTTTCAGTCCCAATAACTGACTTACAAACAAGCAGTGGAACCCAGCCCATTCATAATTCGGAGACAAGATGTACTGCTGCCACATTTAGGCTGAGACTTCCAAATCTAATCAAATGTATTCCACCACTGCCAAGTAGGTCAGAGCCTTGACCTTTTTAGGTGCTCAATAAATGTTTAATGATGACAACGACACCCTGTATCTAGGTACACATAGCCCTTGAACGCTGGGGCTTCAGGTCTGGCCATAAGCTGTCTGTGCAGTGTGCTATGAACTGTATGCTGTGTCAAGTTCTTCTCCCAGCAGCCAGGGTCTCACCCACAGCTCTCTCCTACCTGTTTGCTAGCTGCTGCTCGAAGTCCCCGCACTGCCTCAAGAGCTCTCCACAGGTGGCGATTATCCTAAACAAAACAAAAAGCACTTCAAGTTCAAGTATCTGGAATGCCAACATTTACAGCACAAACATTGTCTCATTCATGAAAATTCTAACTATTCACTCCTTGGTGGTATGCTGGGTTCTGGGAAAGCAGTTAACCATTTGGCAGCCTCCCTGAAACGTTTCATTAATTAGTAATTAACATGAAAGTTATAAACGACAGTCCCTTCTGGTACCCTCACGTCGCAGGCCTCTCTGCTGAGTCACAACTCTATCCAATATGATCTCAAGTAATTTCACGTTTTCAAACTACTCAGGTGTTTCTGGGATTTGCCCTTGAGAAAAACGAGATGAAAATATTTTGTATTTAAAATTTTAAAGCCAGAATTCATTATTTAACATGCATTAGATGCCTGCTACTTGCCAGGCATGGAATACTGTCGATACTAGAAAATTCTCTCTGATCACATGAAAGGAAGGTGGAGACTGATCCATTTGTTTCTCAGAGATAAGCCTGAATGATCATCAGATCTGTATTTAACAATCTTAATTTGCAAATAATTTTACGCTAGGCTCCTGAGTCCTTCAACACCATACTATAATGTCAGGACAAATCCAAGGATTAAAAACATCTTAAGTCTAGTTAACTTTTAACTTTCTCTGAAATTGCCTCTCATCACCAGGGTATCTAGGCATTCCATCATAAGAAAGGCTTATGAGAAAGTGAACTGTTCCACTCGCCTCAGGTACAATGGAACACCCTGTACATAATACTTTCTGGTCTTCCAAGCCACCACGGGTGACAAGGCTACAGGCAGCATCTAGAACACTAAATTTCATGAAAAATTTCTAGTCTAGATCGGAGCCCATGGGGGGATAATCCAAATGGTGCTGGGAGGTCCTGGATCCACCGTGATTAAAGAGACCCCTCAGAAGGCCTGGAGGTGCTCAGTGGGCTACTGCACTGAGACCCACGGGTCCTACGCACCCTGCACAGAGCCCTCGGCCACAGGTCAGGCAAGAAATGCAAGTGGGGGAGAGCAGCTTCTCTTTTCAGAGTCTATGTCCAAGACTTTAAGGAAAGGAAACTTCTCAACTGCTCTTTATCTCAGCCCAATGGTTTAGCTGCTGAGTGGCCTTGGCGTGGTAGAGCCACAGCACAGCAGAGGACAGCCACTGGACCAGGGGGACTTCAGCCACCAACCCACGGGTCTGTCCTTGGGACAGTGTGGGCCTGATGCTTCTAGAGCTTCCAACTGTTAAGTGATGTGAGAAATCTGGGTTATATTAAATTGGATTTTTAAATGTTAGCAACTAATCCAAAAACTTTTTAAATGCTGTGATCAAACCAAACCTGTCCATAGGTCAGATCTGGCCACAGGCCAGCATTCTGCATTCTCAGGCCGCTGGAGCAACAGGTGTCTCCAGGATCTGGCTGTTGACCACTTGGGAGAGTTACCTCAATGCTTTTCAGGGAACTCTTACATAGCCCTTTGTACTGCCTTAGCACCTAGTACTATGGCAAACAGGTCCAGAAACAAGCCCATCAGCTAGGCATTTTCTGCAGTATAAGCTCTAAGTTCTTTTAGGTCTGTAAAAACTATAGGCTAAGGGGGAGAAAACCCTAAACCAAGTTTAGAAAATTTAAGTCATCACAGGAGATGAGGAGCTCATAAAGAACCTGTAAAGATATTTTAAAAGCAAGAGGAGTCTTTTTGGTGTTTGTTTGGTTGGTTGGGTTTTTACTCTTCATGCGCTTGTTTTTAGAGTCTAGAGTATTTGCTTTAAAAAACAAAAGGCAGTAAAAGAGAAAAAAACTGGCCCCTCACAAACTCACTTGTCGTTTTCTATACTACACTGTGCACACTGATGTTGCCTGCATGGGGAAGCTGCTTCAGCTACAGCCCCTCACCTGATGGAGTTCTGGAAGGCTGTCCAGTCTTCCTGGAAGAGAGAGTTGGGAGGAATGTCGTCCAGCTTGCACTTCTTTCGCACGGAGTAGAGCGCGCTGGTGAAATCAGACACATACCTATGGGGACAGGGAAGAGACAGGGCTGTGGTCATAAACTCCTCAGGCCTAGATTCCAGAAACCATACAGTCTGGACAGAGTGGTAATGACCGTGAGAGTGTCTTTAGAGGCTCCTTCCCAAGGGTGAGACTACTCATAAACCTTACCACCAAGAGGTCTGCTCACACGGCAGGGCAGCTTTAAAAGCTGCTCAAGATGAGGGAAGGGGACAGCCATGAAGACCAAGACTCTGGAGACCAGCCAGGTAAGAAAGGACGCGGGTAAATTACTCCCTTGCCCTAACAAAGACGTTCTTTGGAGGCTGGCTCAAGAAGTGTGTTAAATAGCGCAAGAAACAAGATGGTGGCGCAGGTAACAGCTGCTCCCGCCGCCTCCCACAACCACATCAAAATCACAACTAAAATACAGAACCACCATCACTCAGAACCTCCTGAAATCTGGCTGAACAGAAGCCCTACAACCAGGGAACTGAAGAAGCACCGAGACCGGTAGGAGGGGCAGAGACCCGGGCAGATCGGGGCTGAATCACTGAGACGCAGCCGAGGGCCCACACCTGGTGACACGGTTGAAACCGGGGAGGGAATCTCGGCAGGAGAGGTTTCCCGGAAGAGCGAGGGGTCCCAGCCCCACAGCAGGACCCCAGCCCAGGGCTCCAGGGCCGGGAAGAGACGTCCCCACAACTCCAGGCTGTGAAACCAGCGGGACTGTCCCTAAGGGTCGAGGAGGCTGCAGGAGCCCCAGGCAGCTCCTCTTAAAAGGCCCGCGCACGGACTCACTCAGATGCGCCCCTCCTGAGCCCAGCACCGGGCAGCAGCTTGAAGGAACCTGGGACACTTGGGGAGGAACTAACCTGCCTGAAATTGGGGGTAGAGGTGGAGGGGCGGCTTTCTCCCAGGCTAAAGAGCTGGCAGAGACCATTGCTCCTTTGGCGAGTCCTCCCCGCACACAGCTGACAGGCAGGCGCCATATTTGAATCCCAGCACCTGACTCACACCTTTGGCCCCGCCCCTCCCACCTGCAGGCTCATTCAGGCCATTTCCAGGGGCTTTTCTATGCAAGTGGCCTCTCAAGCCTCATGCTTAGGTCTTTCCTAAGATCTCTCAAACAAGCAGCAGCGTGCCCCTAACAGCTTGATAAGTGGCCCCAAGCCTGGCACTAGTGGCAGCCTGCATTGGCTCATAGCTTGGCCTCTCCTGGACAACACCAAGCCCAGCACAAGCAGCAGCCAATTATGGTTTGCTGTGTAGTTCATTCTGGGTGGTCCTGGGCAAGGCACTGTCAGAGGCTGACTTTGCACCTCCCTGGAAGCCCGAGAGACAGTGCACCTGGTGGTCAGACACGACCACACTGGATTACAACCCTACCACATCCATGAGTGACACTAAAGGGGGGCACTTGGTGAACACCAAAGCTCCACTGAAGTAAATCCTGCTCCATAGGGGTGTCTCCAGCACAGCAGTTCTTTGGCTGTAGTTGCAGCTG